AAAAAAAAAAACTGTCGTTGTTGAATGCTCGGTGCTGGCCACACACAGAGTCTTGTGGCTACGGTGCCCAAGACATTTTTATTTGCTGGTCAACCATCAAGCGGTACAAAAATGCTCCAAGAAAATCGGTCTCACCTTGAAGCGAGGGGGGCTATCCATCGTTACTAGGAACGTCCGGCTGACAGGAGCACTTACAACCGGTTCGGTTGTCCTCCAGTGCCCATTTCTCGACTCGTCTGCAGAGTCCTTCAAACATTTGAGACGGAAGCGGATGTTTTCTCAAATGCCTCATCTCCATCTTCGGAGCTTGATTTACCTCTGCCAGAGCGTACTGTGTCGACGACACCACTGTCGTCGGTATCGACCCAAGCGGCTTAGTATTTTGGCAACTGCTTTATCGGTTCCTGTCCTGTCATTTCAAGAAAACGCGACGTCGTCTTACGACCTCCTATCTTCGCCCCAATCATAAAAAGCTACTATCTGTTACACCGTAATAACCGTCGCAATGGACCAGCTTCCACACGTTGAAAAAGCATGGCTAGAGGCAGCAAGTAACGGCGATGTCGACCAGATGAAGATGCTACGAAAACAGTATCCTCAATGGCTCAATCTCAACCGGGTGACGTAAATCTTCAACCATTCGTCAACACCCGCTTACCTGTTTTGTCTAACGAACATCCTAATGTTGGTATAGAATGTCGACGAAGACACAGTGACGAACGGTTCCGATGGCCCAAGGCCCTCGCGATCGCCTGGCTTTTGTAGCTGGGACGGCTTCCACTTGAACACCATCGGAGCGTCGGCACTGCATACGGCGACTTGGCATGGTGAGGATAAGATTGTCGAGTATCTTCTTGGAGAGGGTCAAGATCCCGATACAGAAGATGAAAGTGGCATGTCAGCGATAATGCTGGCTATCATGCATCACAATTTACAAGCGACACGCTGTATCTTTCGTGACCGAGTTGCAATCCAGCGAAATTTGGTGATGGACGTAAGTCAAGACGATATCTTGATACGAGCATGCTACGGCCACTAACTTGATATTTGAGATCTTCCTTGTAGTGCCGAGAAGAAGATGAAACCCGGACCCGACGCACCGTGTCTCTCATCCAACTCTTCCTACGTTTTAACGCTAATGTCGACAAGAAGTGCCACCGGGGCAAAACAGCGCTGCACCACGCCACAACGGACGATACGTATGAAGTTGCAAGTCTCCTTCTTTCCAGTGGGGCCAGCGTCGACGCTCGGGATGAGGTACGTGCATTCTTAATACCTAGGTTCACTGAATGAGATCTGACGAGTGGTCTTTGATCGACAGGAAGGAATGTCTGCACTGCATCATTGCATACAACCGCCAAGTTACTTGGTGGCCGACCTGCTCCTTCAACACGGCGCTAATGTCCATCTTCCAGCTCACGACGGTGTCACGTCTCTCCAGCTTATAATACGCAGTCACGACATCAACATGCTGCAGATCATACTCAACCACCACCGACAGGTAGTGACAACCGAAGGAGAAGAGTTCGCTGGCTCAGTACTCATGACTGCAGTCGATGAAGATGCGCTGCCCGTTGTTAAATTCCTATTGGAAGAAGACTACGCGACTACAATGCACCAAAACGGTAGTGGGCAGACGCCCATGCATCGAGCTCTGTTCACGAGGAAAGCTTCAGTAGCCGAACTACTGCGGACTTCTGACGACCAGGCTCGAGTATTGACCTTGAACACGGCGTCGGGCGAATCGTGTCTCCACTACGCTGCGAGGTATTCAACTTCAGAGGAGCTGCACTGTTTGTTACGCTTCTATCGACGCGGTGAATGCGAAATTGCACAGTGGAACAGTGTTAACTCGGCTGGTAGAACAGCGCTGTTCCTGGCCGCCACGTCAACGTCGGACTCGCTTGACGACCGCAATGCAAAGACACAATTAATGCGCCGTGTTGGAGCCAAGCTACTGGGTAGTAGTCCGTTCCTCGAAGCCGTAGCAGACCAGAGTTCGATCGTGGCCTTCTCCGTTGAGGTTCAAAGCTGTCTGAGCTTGTGGCTATCGGAGTGTGCGGAGACTCGTTTCGACGAGGTCACCAAGTTCTGTATGAATTTCTTGGCGATCGTGTTCTCGTTGCACCATCCACGACTGCAGATGAACCCCGAGGTGCTCGGAGTCATGTTGTCGTCGGGCCAAGTCGTCGACACAGCCCCTCTGCTGTTGCTGCTACCCTTTGATCGAAGAACGGCAATGTCCCTGTTGGAACTCGTGGGAGTGTTTGGCAGACAGGAGAACCACGCGCTTATTCTGGCACTGTACGAGGAGCTCGCCACAGCTTGGGCAGATCTGTCCGCTTAGCCAAGATGGGATTTACACGATTTGATAAGCTTTGGCATTAGAGCGACGAAAATCCGAGAAAGATCTGATAAACTCTGATAATTCTTTGCGCCTTTCCACTTTTGAGACGCAAACTTTCGCTGACAAATAGCCTATTTGTCAGCGAAAGTCGGAGTCGATGGACATACCGCTGGACGCATCCAGTCTAAAACGTCTCCGTGGCGACCTGGAGGGGGCAGCTAGACTACGTCTTCATGAGCTCTCCCAGCTTTACGATTCTTCTCCCCAGTTCTCGATGACCTTTGTATCACTTTGCATCGTCTCCCTATCCCAATAGGTGGCTTCAGTTGTCTGAAATCTACGGTCGGTGGCCAAGCGCTTTAAGTATTTTTTTTACTGCGTGGTAGCCCTAATAAAAGTGAGGTGCAACCGGTCATTACAGGGTAATTTAGATCTAGTTAGCTCTTTGTGTATGTGTAAGGGATGCTCGACTTGCTCTAGCTGAAGCGACAATGCCGCTTCGCTGAGAAGCAATAACTCGCGAGGCTATCGTTGTCATCGTTGTTCGCCATCGTTGGTGCTGAAGGGAGGGGGAACCGGTTTGA